TCACTTCGCCTCCTACACTCATGACACAAAGCACCCAGCCCTCTAGTCAATCATCTGTCATCCATCCTGAGTTAGACAGGATGGAACAGACAACAGTCTGATTTCTGCATGGAATTGTTTTCCTTGTTTCTAGCTCTCCATGAATTTACTTTTCCTTTGGTGTTGAACAATTGTATTTGCATAGTTTAAGGCTTTGTTTGAAAACCATTATTAATGGATCTTCTGTTTATAAAAAAAATATTATTATAAACTGGGTAGAATAATGACAGTAAATTTGGGGTTTTGAAGGTGTAACTTCTGAAAACAGTGTCATGGTAAGGATTACCTATAAATATGAATGTATGTATATTGGGTCAGACAGAACAGCAGATCTCCAAGTGTTTGGGATACATCCTGAAGGTTATTTAAAAATGCACGCCAAGAACAGACAGATGGCTGAGGGATTAGGAGCACTTCCGGCTCTTCCAGAGGACCAGAGTTTGACTCCCCAGCGCCAACACAACCAACATGACAGTCCACAACTATCTAAAACAGCAGTCCCAGAGAAGACATTGCCCTCTACTGGCCTCTGTGGGCACTGCATACATGCGGTGCACAGACATACATGCAGGCAAAATAAAATAAAATAAAATAAAATAAAATAAAAGTAAAAGTAAAAGCCAAAAAGAGGATGATGGCTGTGTTAATTCACCTTTTAAAACCAGGTCAGTGATTCATTTGTTTGTTGTGGAAAACAGGATTAGTGTTAGATGTTCATTTTAGAGACAGTTTAGGAACCATGAGATGTGCAAGGTTTGCAGGGCACATCCACACAGATGTACGTGTCTAGAAAGGCAGACTAGTAGTAGTCAATCTACCTCAGTTCATTTCCCTCTCCCTGTCTTCCCATCTCTAGAGGAAAAAATCTGGAATGAAAACAGGATTGAGAGGTTCTAAATGCTCTAATATATAAAGCCCTATACAATTCTTACCAACATGAGATGGAGAATAGATTATCTAAAAAGCCTTCCAAAGTTCTGTAAAAGCTAAATTTTGACCTTTAGCCCAGTCTTCAAAGATTTCAGTTGGCAATGATCAGAGCAACACCCCGTACATCTCATACATCTCCCTGTTGTGGATACCATACCACATCTGTCGTACATCTCCTACACCCCGCCTCTCCCCGCTGTGGACACTGTCCCTGTCCTATATCCCGACCTCTCCCTGCTGTGGACACGGTGCCTGTTGTCATTTACAGAATTAATTACCTTTGTAGGAAAAGGAAATCTGGACGGCTCAGCTGTACTGGGTGTGTGGATGGCTGTCAAAGGAGGTGGCCACGAGTGGGTCATTTCCTAGAAACAGATTTGGAAAAGGGGAAAAAACAAGTATAAGTGGAACATTCATTGCCATTTGGTTCTGAACTTAGATGCAGAGTGAGTCAATGTCCCACAGAAAGTACAACCTCAAAGGATATCTCATTCACTTTTAGAAGGACGCCTGCCTCAGGCTACACTGAAAGCTGAACCTGGGTGGAAACTAAATGGGCCCAGCCCTGAACATTACAGTGAACCACAGCATCCATCAGTCGGGGCTGGCGATGCTTGGATAGCTCTGGGCACTGAAGTGGCAGGCGGAGCTGGGAAAGGCCTCGGCTCAGCACATTCTTCCTCCAGCTCCTTCACTGCACTTCCGGGAATTATTGAACTTCAAAGGAAGAACTTTCCGGTCTGACTTAAACAAACAAGTCATTCAGGCCCCTTGCTCCACTCGGGAGGGTTCTAATAGATTTGACCCTTCCCTGGAAGAGATGTTGGCAGGTTTTCAGAAGCAGGGGGCTTTCCTTTCTCAGTAGCAAAACTTTAATCTTTATTCCCTCTTTTCTTGGTTTAAGGCAAGATTTCTATTCCTTACAAATTAGTATACTTCTCGGTACTATCATATTTATTCTATTTTGCTTAAAAACTTGAAGGGGCAGGTGAGGTGGTAACACACACCTTTAATCCCAGCACTCTGGAGGCAGACGCAGGCGATCTCGGAGTTCGAGGCCAGCCTGGTCTACAGAGTAAGTTCCAGGACTCTGTTACAAAGAAACCCTGTCTCAAAAAACCCTTAAGGTTAAGGGAAAATAGGTATGGCAAATTAAAAGTGTATAATCATGAATACACATGTGAATGTACACACATACATACCTTGAGAGGGCTCAATAGTGTTACATAATTATTTCAAGATGAAGAAACTCATTTTATACAAATTTTAAAAAACAAAACAACAACAACAAAAACAAAACAAAAAAACAGGGAGATTTAAATGACTGAGCCAAAGCCCAGAAGGAGCCAAAGGCTCAACAGAGGTTACAGGCTCCTCTGTCTCCCTAGATAAGACAAATAAGTCACATGTTCACACCTGGCTACAGAGGGGCCTGGTCACATGTTCACACCTGGCTACAAAAGGGTACTTAATAACTCTCTCCCCAGAGGCAGGTGCCAGTCACACGACACCACCTCCTTTGCACACCACACTCCATCCTAGTGCTGATCCTTGTCCAGGCCAGCACTGCCTGGCTCCTGTTTGAGCGACACCATCCTGGCTTCTCAGCCCTGCGAGGTGGCATGTGAGCATGCACATGCAGTTCCTCCCTGGCCCTTTCCTACTGTTGCTGTGAATGGTCACAGCAGCAGGTGAGAACAAGAGACCTGTATGTGGTAAGACAGTGTGACTGGTGTGAAGTTTATTTTATTTTAAAGACATCCTGCTCTTAACTACTGAGCCATCTCTCCAGCCTCTGATGTGGGCTTGGACTACTACTTTTTAAAAGTGAACTCATGCTTTATTATCAGCTACAGGCCATCCGCTTTGCCCCAACTGGGATCTCTGTCAGCAAGCGATAGTGGCCTGAATTCTGGACTTCCTTTCTCACTGAAAAGTCAGCTCTGAGCTTATTCTGTGAGGGCAATTTAAGTAAGTGCTTGGGTACTGGATTCAAAAGAATGGTGCCTAGAACTTGCACAACTTCTCAGAAGGAGGCGCCCTTTTGAGGCAGGGTCTCTCTGTGTAGGGACACTGCCCCCTCTCAGCCTCCTAGGTGTTGAGATTAGGACATGTGCCCCAACATCAGCAGCTGTCCACATTTAACTGAAATGTAGTTTTCTAGGCAATTTGATCCTGCACCCAGTGAGCTCTTTGCTCTTTTTCTCAGTCAGCATACTCTAGGTGTGGAGTCACTGAAGAGCTTGCAGCAGCATCCTAATGTTTTCCAAGAATTTATTGGAATTGTGATGACATCTGTGACCTTTTACTACCAGTTATTCCTAACAGCAGCCTAAGGCTGTGCCCCGAGCAATCAGGCAGCTACAAGGTACATAAACTCTTTGCAGACTCTCAAGTGGTTCCTGGTCTGGAAGAACCTCCACACTTCCCTAAATGCTTTAGGCATTAAGGAAACTGGGGCTATTACAAAGAGGAGAAAGTTGAGCAGGTAGTCCTCCACTCCATCCCTTAGCCCTTCTAGGCTGCAATCTCCTCTCTCCTCCTCCTTGCTCATTTTCTCCCAGACCCACTGTGTTTGTTGCTCCAGATTTCTCTCTAGAGCACAAACTTGTCTAACCTCAAGACTTCTCCACCCCACTATTCGCCCCATTTCACTGGCCTGTCACTCTGTCCTTGCCCCATCACTGCAATGTAACTTTACCTTTCATACCTTGATCCCTGTGAAAGCAATGACTCTGTCCTCTTTACTGGCATCCTAGTATCTAACAACGTGTCTGGTTAGCAAATAAAATGAATAAGCAAGCAATAGTGCTACTCCATAAGAAGCCAGCACCACAAGCACCACAAGCAGGCTGCCCTGAGGGGAGGCCTATGCATACTCCTGCATAGGCCTCTGGGACCATGCCACTATAAAACAGATGACTCTGGCAGCAGGTCTTAGCAAGTACACCACTTCCCCTTTGTTAGAAAGAACACTTCCGACCTAAACATGGCCCAAGAGAACCAGTGAAAACTGACACCAAGCATCGTACATCATCTAGAGCTGATTTTTACTCTTGGGGAGCTGTCAGTGGATTCCTGGCAATCTGAATAAATTGCTGACACAAGATGAAGAATGGGAACTTTGGAGAGCACCAGGGTCCCCGGCTAGCTCAGAGCTCCTTCCACCTAAGAAAGCCATCCTCAGAGAAGTGGGATACAAAGAACAGAGTTTGGGTTTTTCTCTATGAAAAGGCCCATGCCTCTTCAGTCCTGGGTTGTCACTTCTGACTTCCAAATGGAGACATACAGTCTTTGCTTGCACTGTTGTTTCTCAAGCATTCAAGTATAATACTATGAGTGCATTAAAGTGGGACTGGAGAAGAGGGAAGCAGGGTGGATGCTTTTATTAGTGCCCAGGACCATGATATTATCATGCTTGAAGAGAGGATACAGTTTGTCTTGTACTAAAAACTATCAAAACCTACAAAAAAGCTGGGATGTGGTGGCACAGGCCTTTAATTCCAGCACTGGGAAGGAAGAGGCAAGTGGATCTCTGTAGTTCAAGGCTAGCCTGGTCTACAAAAGTGAGTTCCAGAACAGCCAAGGCTACACACAGAAACCCTGTCTCAAAGGCCAAAATCCAAAAACACAAAAACCTACAAGAAGCACTGCCCACGGAGGTTCGTCCTCTCTGTTGCTTTTCGGTAAATAGAGAACAGATCACATACTGTGCAGAGAAAATCATAAGCAGGAATTTATTTATTTTGAGTTGATAAATGGAGTACTTTAGAATCAGGAATAGTGAAGGGTGATACCAAAACATGATCGAAGTAATTAGTTAAATATTCCCTGCCCTTGCTAGTTGCCAAGAACATCAGCCATTACCATTTCAAAACATGCCTCCACAGAGCCCCAACTATAAAAGGATGCACACTGAGTCCAGGGCAGAGATGATGCAAGTATTGTTCAAATATCTGCCCAAATGCTGCTTGCACAAATAAAGTAAGATAAAATAAAACTGAAAAAATAAGCAATATCCTTATTTGCTAGCTGCAAATAGCAGCATTGGTTAGTATTTTTGCAATAAAGGAGTGGAATCAAAGTAAATTTGTTTTAGAGGAAAAAAATGAACAGTGGAGAATAAAGTCCTTAAATCTAGAACTTCAAAAAAAAATCAAACTTTATATTAAGACACAAGAATATTAAGACCAATGGCAGCAAATTATATGCAAGAAGAGGGAAAGGACACAGACCCCCCCCCCAAAACTACTACAATTACTGTATACAAGCAATAAATGAAGCTCTGAATTCCTAGGAATTCAAGCAAAAATGGGTCACATGACAGTTTATGCAGCTCTCTGATCTGACTGACAAAAGAAAGCAAGCTAAGAGCTCAAGAGAAGAATCTTCTAGCATTTGTTTGTTTTTGTTTAGTTTTTTAAAGGAATACTAATCATTCTAATGCAAGAAAACTAGAGCAGGTGGGTACTGTATATATGATGATACATTTACAGGAGAGGAGATGTGAGGCACTTACAGAACCCACAATACGTAAAGAAAAACAAACAAAAAGAAACCAGTGGGGAAGTCTAAACATGACCGTGCGTGTGCGTGTGCGTGTGCGTGTGCGCGCGCGCGCGCGCGACGCATGTGTGACACACAGATCTCACTGGGTTGCCCTGGCTGGCCTAAAACAGATCACAAGTCTGCTGTGGACTGCTAGGAATGGGAAAAAGCATACACCACCACTCTCAGCTCCACACTTTAAGCAGCCATGCACACCAGGCTTCACGGTATAAAGGGTGAGAATCAGGATGCAGGGCTATTTAACACCATATACGTTGTTTCTTCCTAGGAAGTGAGTACCAATCCTCAGTCTCTAAGGGCGGGCAGAAAACCTGAGAAATTCGTAACTCTGATCCAGATTTCTTGCAGCTTGTGAACTTCATCTTAGCAAGTCAAACCTGATAGAGGCCTAAATAATGGTCTGTGTTGGGACAGCACTTCTCAGGGAAGGTGAGAAACGATGGCCGTTTGTGTGCTTGGTTCCGGATTTCTTCAGACTACACATGGCAATTATGAACTCACCTTCAGAATCTCTTCAACGCAGTGAACTTCACTGGAGAACGCCTGCTGCAAAGGAAACAGAGGAAAGCTCAGTTTACAAAGCTGGACAGCGGGGGTGATGAGAACAGTGGGTACAGGGGCGAAGAGGTGCCAGGCAGTTCACTCCAGGACCCACCCTTGACTATGGGAGCACTAGTAACTGCACTGTGGAGGAATGAGTCACCAGCTTCACCGTGGGGAAGAGCGGAAAGCTGGAGGCACACATACACCCACACAAGACCACATCTATCAAACAGAGTGAGGGCTGGGGACACTT